ACAGCACACCACAGACAGATGCTGCCGTGGAGGCTCTGAGTGTCTTCATTCTATGCAAGGAGGAGACTGGGGGTAGGGCCAGAGGTGTCTGGTTCAAGTCCAATTCCCCCTGATCCTAAAGCCAGCATTGCATCACTGTATCAGCTGAGTACTGACACGTCCAGGCACAGCTGGTCAGAACCGTGCCTCCCCCAACTCTGCCTTCCCCTGGGCGAATTTGCTCCAGGAGAGGGATTCCCAAATGGGGGATGATGGCGCCTACAAGACGGGCCGCCCCCCTGGCAGAGCAGCACAAGGGGCAGCACCTTGATCCCCAGGACCACTGTGTCGGGCCCCTGCTGATGGTCATCACCCAGTTTCAGTCACTCTTGTGGGGTGAGCCTGCCTGGAGCAGGAGAGAGCCGAGAGGGGAGGACCCCAGGGGTGCTGGGGAGGAGAGGGGCACACTCCCCAAGCGTCCTTGGAGCCGCCACCTTGCGGTTGAACCTGGGCTGACCCTGGGCCCCCCTGATTCTGATCGCTCTCAAATTGAAGGCTCTTGGGCCCTGTTGCAGCCAGGCCTCTGCCTTGACCGGGTCCTGACCCCCAAGTTCTGGCTCCTCCACTACTTCTCAGTCTGGCTTGAAGGGCCCCACCCTGTCCTGCCACAGACCGAAAGAAATATCTGGGTGTCTCTCCCCGGCCATATAAATTAGTTGGATAATTCCCCCTGTGGCCCGTGTCCACACCCGCCAATCTGCTTTCACTTTACTTGTCATTTTCCCCAAAGCCCAGTTTCCTCTGCCTTTCTCTCCTGCTCAATTTCACATGCTGCCCCCACCCTCCAGCCTTGAGCCCCCTCAGTTCAGACTTGCTGTCTTCTTTGTTCACCTCAAATGGAAATTAGGAGCTGCTTGGAGCAGAGGAAATGGAAATTGCAGCTGAAAGACAGGAAGAGCTCAAAAAAGTTCTGCAGTAAGAAAATGAAAATTGTGAGACACTCCCATGATTTTTTTTTTTTTAATGCATAGACAGAAAGGGAAAGCCTTGGGGCAGGAAGGGAAGTGAGTGGAAAAGGACATGGTGCAGAAGTGACCATACACAAAATGTTCACATTGGTCAGGTCACGCCAGCAGGTCAACGTATGAGCCCCAGAGACCCAGAGCCGAGGCCAAGGGCTCTGGGGTTCCACGGGGTGAGGGACAGGCATGCTCGAGATCAAGGCCTGCCAGCAACGATGAGCAGCAGAGCTGGAGCCAGTGGTTCTTTCCAAGGAATGTGCAACTGAAGGCCAGGGAAGGAAGGCTGCCGGCAGGGAGGGACACAGCGCCGGCTCCAAACAGACTCGGGTCACACACCACAAGCCCCTCACAGGCCAGGCCCCCTCATCTCAGCTCCTGAGAGATCCTCTTCTTAAGGAGTGACAGCGCCGCTTCTACCCGATGGGCAGCGTAGGTGCAGAAAATGGGGCTGAAGGTCAAGGGCCAAAGGCCACAGGTAGATCCCGCTGCTCCTCGCAGAGACGCCTGTGTTCTCTGAACCAGGTCCTAGCTTACCACCAGCGGTGACTTCTCTACTACCACCAGGTGCATTTGAATGCCTGTTACGTGAGTGTGTGAATCAGGGTATACTTTTCAAGGCATTTAGTTCCACCTGCCCCTGTGCCATCCACATTCCAGGAGGTCAGGGCGGCCTTGCCTCATCCTCTCCATCCCCAGCACTTAGCAGAGTCTGTGGCACATTGGAGGAACTCAGTGAATGTTTGTTGAATGAATGAATGATTTTCCCTTTTAATGCTTAGTGGTTGGCCAAGCCCCCTCTAAAGGACACTTTCTTAAAATACATTTATCCCTCAAAGTCTTTAAATGCAGGTCCTATCTTAGGGGTATTAGTGGCTGTTTCCGATGACAGCATATCTCCACTTTGATGATGAAGATGGTGACCATGGTATTAGTAATAAAAACAAGACAATAACAATAGCAGAAGGTGCTCCCACTGCTGGAGCTCCTCCCAGGGCCAGGGGCCAGGCCAAGAAACATTTTGTAAGGACCAGCCATGTTCTGATGGGGAAGGCGTCATCGTCATTGTACAGATGTCAGGTCTGAGGTGCAGAGAGATAAGACCACCGTGCAGAGACACGCTGCTTGAAAGCAGGGGCTGTGCTCACGCTTGCCTGGCTTCAGACCCAGAGTCGACATGCAGTGATCCCAGAGGTTAGGACCCCGAGAGCAACCTGATCCGCCATATTTCTGGATTTTGAAATTCTGGGGTGGGGTTGTGCCCCTTGGTGCTAAGCCCCAAGCTGTGGCTCCTGCTTACCTAGAGAGAATGACAAAGACCTCCCTGATCCAGAGAACACTTAGAGCATCAGATCGTCAGATATGCTGAGATGTTAAATCCCAGGGCGTCACCAAGAACAGGCTGATTCTCAGTGCCACTGAGTTTATTTGCAGTTCTAAGTATTAGTCGCTCAGTCACATCCAACTCTTTGCAATCCCATAGACTATAGCCCACCAGGCTCCTCTGTCCATGGGATTTTCCGGGCGAGAATACTGGAGTGGGCAGCCATTCCCTTCTCCAGGCAATCTTCCTGACCCAGAGATTGAACCTGGGTCTCCCGCATTGCAGGCAGATTCTTTACCATCTGAGCCACTAGGGAAGCCTGGCCATTCTAAGTAGAACATCTCAAACTGATACCATTGAGTTATTTGCAGTTTTGATTAAATAGGACATCTCAAACTGCTCTCAGACTTATTTTAAGCCTTAAAACAACTGTGCCTGCCAAATGGCCTGTTTATCCTGGTCAAAGCACCAAAGTACTAATAGATGGCTATTATCAGCGGCTGTTATGAGAACAGAGACGGTAGATCTGGGCTCAGAGTCAGGCTCCAACATCGCTGTCCTTGGGGATGCAATTCCCCAGCTGTGTGTTGAGCACCTGTACCTGGAGCCTGCAGGGGGCAGGGAAGGAGGGAAGAAAAGGTGAGGCGGGGCAGAGGCTGCATGGCCTCCAGTCTGTGAACAGTGGCGCTGCTGGTGGAGTCGGGCTGGCAAACTAAAGGCTTCCTTGTCACAGATTGGGCTCGCCTTTTCAACTGTTTTCTGACACTGTCTGTCATTATGAAAAGGCACTAAGATTATTTTATCCAGGGCGGCTGCTAGTTGTTTTAAAACAACCCAGTTGTTTTAAACTGGGTTCCTAATTTTGCTACAAGAAAGGACAAGTGTTCAGCTTGAACTCCGCCACGAAAGCCAAGGGCTGGACCTTCAAGCAGGCCTGGGCTGGGGCCGCTGGTGGACCTGGAGAAGGTGACTTGGCCCCTGTGAGTTTCAATATTCTCATCTCAAAACTGGGCCAGTAGTAGCTATTTGCAGGGTCATTATGAGGAACGGTCACTGGGGAAGGTGGGAGCTGTGCACGATGCTTAATGTATAGCAGGCACTTGCAAAGGCTGGCTCACCCATGAATGGCACTCGGAGCGCGTGCTGGCTGTCCACCAGGCGTTGACAGGTGGGGGTGCACATCGCCAGGACACAGGAGACGCTGACCATTGAGAACCGATGGGACCCTATCCTCAGTCAGCCGCGTCATCCCATTGCAGAGATGAGTGCTGTGGCTGCCAGCATTGTGTCCTTTGGTGCTTCCAGAAGACCGGGTGTTCTTCTAAGAAGTTTGTATTTAATCCTTGCAGCATCCCTAAGGAGTAGTTGCTAGGATCCTCCCCATTTTACAGGCGTGGAGACTCAGGCTAGGAGCAGTTTGGCAATCGGACCGAGATCACTGCATTTGGAGGTGATGGTGCCAGCACTGACCCAGAGCAAACCCCCAACCACTGCAGCAACAGGACACTGTTCTCTGGTTTTGAAGTAAAGACACTGGTGACCAGCTCATGACTGTCTGTGCCCATCCATCAACCTTTATGGACATGGTTCCAGAGAAGGAGGGGGAAGAGGCTCGAGGTGTAGAAATGGGACACCCGAGCTTGTACCGGAGCAGCTCCTGTACAAGCAGCTGGTGCTGCTTCTCTGCCGAAATGTGCGTGAAGGAGGGAGGCCTGCAGGCATCTCAGTTACAGGCTCCCGCTGCACCTCCTCCGGCCGGCCGCGGGGCGCCGCTGCAGCCCAGCCCAGCACCAGCGCTCCTCGCATGGTGCTCTGCTCCCGATCCGCACCTGCAGGTCGAAGAGCAGGTGATGGGCAGCAGCCTGCGGGGGTTGCCTGGTCCTAGCTGGGAGTGGCCGCCGCCCACAGACAGATGACCAGGTGTCGGGGAGGAGAGGCCTCGCCGCTGACAGGAGCTCGTCTTCCCTGTGGCCCAGATTCCAAAGCCAACCTCCATCCACATCCTCTTCTTTAGACGGCTGCCTCTTTGGGAAGCAGGCAAGAAGGAAGCCCCTTGCGAGAAGCTAGCCTTGGAGGGTTCTGGGGGCAGCTAGATGTGGAGGGCGGGGGAGCAAGTGGGGTGGGGTGGGGGAGCGACTGTGGGCCCGGGGCCCTGGTCCAGACCTGGCTGGAGGACGACCTTGAACAAGTCCTTACCTGCCAGAGGAGGGGGTGATGCCCTTGCCCAGCCTCCTTCCCACCCCCCACTCTTTGCTGGTGACCACAGCGGGCAGGGATTTTCTACAAGATTAGTGTTGGCCGGTCCAGCCAATGCCAGCTCATGGGGGGGTTGTGCCTCGTGCAGTTGGTGTCGCTCTTTCTGGACACCTTGTGTGGTGTCTCCAGTTCTCAGTCGTTCAAGCTGGAAGGGCCCACTAGGACCACCTAGCTAGGAGTCTTTCCTTCTTTAATCGGTGAAGAGGCCAAGTCCCTGAAAGGTGGCGTGGTGTGTGGTTGCCAGCATCACTGTCACCATCTGATGACTGTGTGTAAAGAGGCCGTCCGGCCAACATGGCACTTCTCACAAGTGGGACCGCTGAGGCTCCGAGAAGCTGAGCAACTTGCTCGAGGTCACACAGCATCTGCACGCATTAGTGCATATTGGTGAGCCCATGTGTCAGCTGGCCAGGGCTGCCACCTCCCCTGCCGTCAGAAATGGCACAAAGATCCCACCACCGGTACTGGTGTAATTTCCTTAGGTGATATTTTGTACCCAAGGCCTGGGTTTGGGTGTCAGATCTGAGGTTGAATCCTACTTCTCGTGGCCAGGATAATCGGAAACCTCTTTGACCTCTCCTAATAAATTGAAAAACTACACAAGGAACTTTCCTGGTGGTCCAGTGGTTAAGACTCCGAGCTTCCACTGCAGGGGGCATGGGTTCGATCCCTGGTCAGGGAACTAGGATCCTGCAAGCTGAGAGGTGCAGCCAAAAAAACAAAAACTGTACAAAACTACGGAAGCCAGTCAGCTCGGGTATCCTCAGTCCTTGAAAGAAAACACCACCCCTTTGTATTTCCAGCCACAGAAAACCCAGTAAAATCTTGTAATCTGAACCCAACAAATAGGTTCCCTCCGTACAGAAAGGCTTCTCCTGACCCGTGGATTCAGGCTTCATGATTTACTGTGTTTTTACTTACTAACTTGTGGGGCAAAGAGGTCCTTCTCTGTGTACATTTAAAGTGAGATAGAATGTGTGTGTTCAGGAGAATTAAGTCATAGACTCTCATGACAAGGTGCCCATAACGACGTCCTGGAGCTGCGTGCTCACTTTCGAGTGAGAACAGATCAAGCGCAGAATCGTGGGCTGAATCCGTTTTCTGGTTCACAGTTCAGTGCCTTCTGCTACCAACACCTTCAGAGGCAAAAGCATTCAGAAAGCACCCTAAGCCCAGTAGTATCTGATGTTTGCAATAGCATCTGTTGTATCACTAAATGTTTCCCCTGCTTTTGCTGCATGGAGGAGCTGATACAAGCAACCTCCCCCAACCCCACCCCACGCCCTGCCAGTGTCTTTTCCAGACTCATCCCAGGATCCCAGTGTCCCAGGACGCTCACCTCAAACACAGGTGGGATATCCAGCAGTTACCATTACTTTCTTGCACTTGGTGGTGGAGCTCTGTTAGCAAAGTGCAGCTGGAGACGGGCTAAACCCTGTGCATCCGAGCCCTGCCCCACCCCCGTGAGCTCATTCAAATGCAGGCTCCCAGCCCCCACCCTGGACCTCTGGGGCCCACATTTCAGAGAAGTTGCCTCCATGCATATGCTCAGGGATAAGCCCGCGTGCATTACGGTCACAGCTCTTGGGGAGGCTCTCTGGGGATCTGGAGTGACTTAGACAGTGGTCATCTGGTGAGACTGGACAGAGCAGGGGCTGCCTGGAGATCAGCCCTGGTGGGAAAGTAGCACCTTGTAGCTCAGAATTTGTGTATTTAAACATCTTGCTCATTGCATATTAGCTTATGAAATTATTTGGTGACAGAATTCTGTCTGCTATTATTTCATTCAAAAGACATCTCTCTCTCTCTCTTTTTTAACTAAAGGAAAGTTGAAGTCTTACAGGACTGGCATGCATCTCAGAGGCGGTTTTTCTTGCCTTCCTGCTGCCTACCCGACCGCCACCTGGTGGCAGCACTGGACTCTGCATCTCTCCCGGGTTCCCCGTGAGTCACTGGGGGCCGGCCGGGGCCAGGTGACAGGGGATAGACAAGGGCCACCTTTCAGCAGCACGGATCTCTCAAGAGTGACAGCGTGTGAGCCCAGTGTCGCCAGGGTCACAGCAGCTCCCCAGTCTGACAGGCAGGCTAACACCATGTCCACGGCTTCACTTTCCAGGAATCAGCGGCGGCCCCTTGGAAAACCACTACAGACTAAAGCAGTTCCACTTCCACTGGGGAGCAGTGAACGAGTGGGGCTCAGAGCACATGGTGGATGACCACGCATATCCGGCAGAGGTTCGTAGCAGCTAACACGTGGGGGCTTCCCGACTGACTTGGTCACCTGAGGTCAGGTGACCGAGCATCCTGGTTGCACAGAAAGAATTTCCTGGGACATGGGACTCGATGCTCAAGCCACTGGCCACCCTATCCGTTTGCTCTCAGGACTGTCCTTAAGGGCAAGAGTAACATTAGCACTTTCACTGACTAGAAGAAGAGACTGAGGTTCTGAGTGGCGCTGTAACTTGCCAGAGTCAGATGGCTGGGTTTCAGGAGAGAGTCTGTGCCCTTAGCTCAGCCTCACTTGAGGCTGGTCCACTGGGAACAAGCTTCCTGTCCTTAGAGGCATACGAGGCCTTTTACTGAGAATAGAAAATCTTTACGATAGAAATTACCTCTTTAAAACAAAGTGATATTTGGGACATTCCAAAATGGGAGTCAGTAAAGAAAAGGTTCAGAGACAAAGGTCAGGAATTGAGTTTGAGGTGGTAAGTGGGGCCTTGTAGATGTCCCCCAATATTTTATTATGAAATTTTTCCAACTTACCCCCTCCCCCCAAAAATGAAAGAACTGCGTAGTGAGAAACCGTAAAGTCGCTCACCATACAGATCCTGTGTTGATATTTGCCATATTCACTGTATTGCACCCCCATCCACCCACCAACCCCACCCACCAATCACCTGGCTTTCTGATGCATTTCAAGTTCTGAACTCTTTCTGTTGCCATCATTATGGAAGTAATACTTGGTCCAGTCAGACCAAAACCTGAACACTGCTGTGATCACACAGCCAGAGGTGGCCTCTGGGGACAGTTGATAATTAGGGAGTGACATTATCACTCAAACAATTAGTGATTGTTATAACTGCACACATTTTTACAAATATAACAAAAATGAAGGAATAGCAGCTTGTAACACACCTGCTTTCAGCAAGCCACATTCCTCTTAATAACTGTGTTCCTGCTCCCTTGGTCTTTAATGAGCAGCTATTTCAACAGAGGAATTCCCTGCAATGTGCTCATCTAGGAGCCGGATCAGAGCTTGGGACTCACCAGAGCCTGACTGTCCCTGAGTCAGGTGGGCAGGGCCTGCGAGGCCGTGCTGGCCATGCCACTGGCCCCTGTTGGAGCAGGCCGTTTCCTGTAGGGTTTGGAAGGCAAGGCCAGCCCCCTATGGCAGGGTCTGAGAAGGAGGTAGGCTGTGGGCGGGGCCCTGAGATTTCTTCTATTTCTGGAAGACCCCACAGGACAGCGGGTAGGGAGTTTCAGGTGAGGCACGGGAGGACAGAGGGAACCCACGCCACCCTAGCGGTCCCCAGTTTGTGTGGTGAGGAACAGTGGGACTTGTTGGCAGGGAGGTGCCACCGGATCCCAGCACCCCGGCAAGGCTCCCCACGCCCCCAAGTCCATCAGCCGACTGGGGGAGGGTCTTGCTGACCATGAGAGGCTGGAGGCTTCTCTGGGCCGAGTCCTCATGGACTCAAGGCCTGGGTCAGGGTTCAGAAAGGCCTCCACCACCACATACGCTGCAGCAGGAGATGCCAACACCCGGGCCCCGGCCCGGTTCTCATCACACAGAACCCAGGGGTCCTGGCTCTGCCTCCTGCTCACCAGCGCCCCAGGAATACCCATTCCCCCAGCCATTCCCTGCTGATTTAAATCTGATTTAAATCATCTGGTCAGCTGTGATGCCGAGTTCAGACTTAGGAAAGCCAGAGGAAGGTGTGAAGAATAAGAAATTCAGGAGAGGGTGACAGAAAAAGTGCCATTTGGGTGGTGTGCTAGCATTAAAAATTATCCACTGTTTATCTGAAACTCAGATTCAACTGAGAGTCCTATGTGTGATCTGGCAACGCTGGTTCAAGGCTGTCCGTGTGTGTGTGTGTGTGTGTGTGTGTGTGTGTGTGTACTTAGTCGCTCAGTCGTGTCAGACTCTTTGCCACCCCATGGACTGTAGCCCACCAGGCTCCTCTGTCCATGGAATTCTCCAAGTGAAAATACTGGAGTGGGTTGCCATGCCTTCCTCCAGGTGGTCTCCCCAACCCAGGGATCGAACCCAGGTCTCCTGCGTTGTAGGCGGATTCTTTACCATCTGAGCCACCAGGGAAGCCTGAGCTGTCTGAGCAGTAGCAAATAATCCAACCACCCGTGTGTTTGACATAGTTAAAGCAAGCCTCCTTTCTCTCCCCCTGAGAACTAAGGCTCTGCTTTCTGGGGTTTGAGTGAGCTTGGTCTGGGCGAGGTGGCACTAGTGGTTAAGAACCCTCTTACAGGAGATGTAAGAGACATGGGTTTGATCCCTGGGTGGGGAAGATCTGCTGGTGGAGGGCACGGCAACCCACTCCAGTATTCTTGCCTGGAGAACCCCATGGACAGAGGAGCCTGGCAGGCTACAGTCCACAGAGTTGTAAAGAGTCAGACACGACTGACGCGGCTTAGCACGCATGCACACACACGCACAAGCTGGGCGACCCGGCCTGCAGCCATGAGCTCCTGACAACCACACAGAGGAGAGCGAGGGTTCGCCTCTGGCATCTGCTGCCCGGTGATGGGGGAACTCTCTCCTCCTGGGTTCCAGCTGCACTTGGTTCACTGGAACACTGTGAAATACCAGAACTACACGGACGCCGTGATGGGAGCAGATGGCTTGGCGGTGGTAGGCGTATTTTTAAAGGTAAGTGGGCCGGGTACAGCTATCCTAGTGAGACCTGCTTTCTAGGCACGGTCTCCTTAGGATGACATGTGCTTGTCACCCTGTCCCCGGCCCTGTCATGTGACCACTCCCCGTGCCACGCTGTGCAGCTGGGGGCCCGCCACGAGGCGCTGCAGGAGCTGGTGGCAGTCTTGCCGGACATAAAGCACAAGGTAAGCTACATACTTTGAAATCAGCATAACTGAAAAAGCAAGATTGCTTAGAGTAATGGCTCCTCTGCAAAGAAAAACAAGCAAACAAACCAGTTGGGAGGGAGGAGCAGTGCTAAGGGGGTCTGAGTCCCGTCCTGGACCTGGGGCTCCCTGGGGCTGATGCCAGCCTTCTCCAGCTGACTCACCCACTTGAACATGTTCCTGCTATTCCCAGGTCCTCCCCGCTCGGTGTAACGGGATATCCCAATACTCAGCCACTCAGGCAGCAGCTTGAAGATTTTTGCCTTGTCTGCCTGCCAGTAGTACTGTTAGTTATGTAGTATTTTTCATGAGATTAATCCACTTCAAAATTTTTAGCCTTGTCCCAGGCAACAACCTCCATTAGTGATAATGTTAGTTTTAAAACCAATTGAAATGAATTCCCAACTATGGCCATTTAAGAATGTCCACCAGCAAGACACCTGGCCTCCTTAGGGTCAGCCTCATCCTGGGAGAAGAGGGAGGTGGGGCGAGAGGATTCTGTCCGGCCCAGCCCCCCACGCACCTGGCTGCACCCAGCATAGCCCAACAGCACGGCCTGCAAGGTACGAGCTGAGAGAGGGCTTTGATGGAGAAATGGAAATTCCTATACAACCTGCAGTTTATTTGTTCAGTGCCGAACAAAAGAATTCCGAGAGGGAAGGAGTCACCGCGTGGTCCTTGGTCGTGGGGACGGATGGGGCGCTGACGTGTCTTGACAATGGCCAGAGAGACTCCAGAGGGGAGCTGGGGATCGGCCCTTCCTCAGCCGCTTCTCGGGGGCTGTTTGATCTGTGTGGCACACTCCCCTTGATGTTGGCCTCCTTGGACCAGACCAGCTCGCCCCCCTGCTGCCCATGTGCCAGCTCAGGAACTTGGCAAGGTCGAGGTGCTGGAAGGACCCTCCTCCTCGCTGGTCCGCAGCCAAAGTAAACCTGGACTGTTCCCTGCAGCATCCACCCCCCAGGTGTGGTTCCACCTCCTGGTGGGAAAGAAAGAGCTGCTGTGAGGGCTATATACTAAGGGGGCCATGCTTCTCCGAAGGTTCTGGGCAAACACACAGGCGAAATGGTGCCAGAGGAGGGGAGGGAGGAAACCACCAGTCCAGTTCTGGTCCTGATGCTTGTCCCAGAGCCTCAGCTTCCTCAGCTGAAAAATAAGATTTAGAAGCTTAGGAGAGAAAGGCCGTGCCTTGGAGGGCAGGGGCCTGTGCCTCGTGGGTCAGGAGAGTGACAGCTTAAGTCATCTGTCAGTCTGCACTCCCTCCTGGGTTCCCCAACGTCTGGGTGGACTTTGAACATTGGCGGCAGTAGTGGTCACCTCCGTGAGGTCCAGCTCTGAGGGACAGGGCAGGCCTCCTGTAGCACCTGAGTCCCACTGCTGTCTGGTCACGTGGCTTTGGAAAGGTCTTATCTCTCTGTCTTAATCAGTGAAACAGACATAAAGGCTGGTTCTGGAAATCCAAGGTGAGAGCCTCAGAGGGCATCTGGCAGGTCAGTACCTTGGGACCAGGGTCTTGGGGGAGGAGGTCTGAGGGGGTTTGTCTGTCCCCCCACACCTGCTGGTAGGGCTTTCTGCATTTTTTCCTGTGTGCATATGTGGTCTGTGCCCTTTAAGAACTGAGTAGACAATATGGGAGAATATCACTCAGCTAGGTAAAGGAATGAAGCACTGACACCTCCAACAGGGATGGACTTTGAACACATCATTCTGAGTGAAAGAAGCCAGATGCAGAACTCCCCAGGTTATGTGATGCCACTTCTAGGAAGCTTCCAGAATGGGCAGATCACGGAGCCTCTGGTGGGGTCGGGGTTAGCGGAAGTAACAGCTTAAGAGTCTTTACTGGGGCTCTTTTCCCCTGGAGTTCTGTTTTGAGGAACATGTTCTAGAATTGACTGTGCTGAGGGTTCACATGTCTGTGAACACACAGCCATAGGACTGTGCACTTTAGGTGGGTAGGCGCCACACTACGGGAATTGCATTTCAGTGACGCTCTTTAAAAAAGTCGTGACTAGACACTGGTTGCAAGCCATCTGCTGTGGCGTTCCTCCATTAGAAGTGAGCTCCACGACGGCAAGTAGTGGGTCCACCTTGTGTGATCCTGTAGCCCCAGCACGTAAGACGGTGTCAGGTTTACCGTGGTGCTCATCGAATAGCTGAGTGGGCAAGTGACGTGGGATCCCACCAGTCATTAGGAACCTGGAGACAAGTTTCTGTCCATTCTAGAGCGTGGTAAGCAAGCCAGTGTGAATTCTGAACACCGGGCTCCCAAGCATGGCATGAGCTGACAGAGCAGCCTGGAGCACTAGGCTGTCCTGGTCCATCAACGCCTCCCCCTCAACCATGATGAGAAGGAAAATTCTCATATGAGTCAGGGAATCTGACCAGAGCAGTGTGTCCTCCTGCACATGTGTAATTGCATGGCTCTCATGTCAGGGAGGGCTGCTTTAAAGAGAGGATCGGCTGTCTCAAAAGTGTAATATTTTCTGGTGCAGCCACTATGGAAAACAGTCTAGTGGTCCCTGAAAAATCTAAACATGGAGTTACCATGGGGTCTTACGTTTCTGCTTCTGGTATCTCCTCAAATCATTAAAAGCAGGGACTTGAAGAGATGTTTGTACACTCGTGTTTATAGCAGCTTTATTAACAGCATAGATGTGGAAGCAACCCGAGTGTCAGTTAGTGATGATGGATACACAGAACATGGTCCATCGGCACAGTGGAATATTACTCAGCAGTAAAAAGTGGGAAATTCTGGGACTTCCCTGGTGGTCCAGTAGTTAAGACTTCAAGCTCCCAATGCAGGGGGCCCAAGTTTGATCCCTGATCAGGGAACTAGATCCCACATGCCAAAACAAAGAATTTGCATGCCACAACTAAAGATCCAGCATCTGGTACAGTTAAATTTAAAAAATAAATAAATAAATATTTTTAAAGGGGGGGGGGGGTTNGGGGGGGGGGGGGGGATTCTGACACAGGCCCCAACACAGATGGACCTAGAGGACCTTGTGCTGAGTGAGATAAGCCAGTCACAAAAAGGACAAACCCCGTATTATTCCATTTATACAAGATCCCTAGAGGAGTCACATTCATAGAGACAGAAAGTAGATGATGAATGCAAGGGGCTGGGGGAGGGGAGGAGAGCTACTGTGTGATGGGGACAGAGTTTCAGTCTGAAATGTTGAAAACCTTCCACAGGTGATGGTGGGATGGTTGCACAACGAGGTGAAGGTACTCAACCCCACTGAACTGTGTGTTTTAAATGGTCAAAATGGCACATTTTGTGTTGTGCCTGTTATTTGACATCAACCTTGAAGAGTGATATTTTCACAGCCAAGGTGTAGGAACATGAGTAGCTTTAAAAGAAAACATGCAAACCTGTGGTGGATACCCCTGCTCAATGCAGAAGGCCACGTTCTCTTGTTACAGTTTCCAAATGTGGCAGCCGCAGCCATGGCCTTTATCCCAGGAATGTGCTCCACTCCAGGCCAGTCACTGAGATGAAGCCGAGCGCGGTGCCCTCTTTCTGGCCTCCTCCACCTGTCTGACAGCCCATGGTCTCCTCCCCCAGGACACGCGAGCAGCCCTGGGCCCCTTCCAGCCTTCCTGCCTGCTGCCTGCCTGCCAGGACTATTGGACGTACCCGGGCTCCCTGACCACGCCGCCACTGTCCGAGTCGGTCACCTGGATCATCCACAAGAAGCCCATCGAGGTGGCTCAGGACCAGGTCAGTGGCACCTGTATCCGGCGCACGGGACTTCATGGGGATCCCTCTGGTTTGGCTTTCACTGAGACAGTATGAGCGAGCATTGTGTGGTTTCATGCTTTGGTGCATTTTTGATGTTCCTTCACAAGAACAATTTCCAGTTGAAATAGGAGCTTGTGGGGGTTGAATGAAGTTCCCAGTATTGCAGCTCTTCTCCTGACCTAGAAATATTGGTGTATGAGAGGGAGACGGAGACAGAGAGGAGCAAGAGACAGACAGAGAAGAGAGAAAGAGAGACAGACAAAGAGGCAGAGAGACAGAGACAAAGACAAACAGAGATAGAGAAGGGTGCAGAAGGCGGCGGATGAAGGGGAACAGAGGTGGGGACAGACAGTTGTGTTCAGCACCTTCTAATCTTAGTGGTCAGCCTCAGGAGTGGTGAGTTTCCCAGGTGATAGTCTCTGGGGCAAGGCCAGCACCTGCTCTCAGCTTTACAGGACAGAAGTGATATTATCATTGGGACATGGATCCTTGCTCATTCAGGGACCTCTGTGGTCCCTGAATATTTTCAGATGAGTAAATTAGGCAATAAGGGATGTCATAGATGACTGCTGGAGAGCTGTGAAAGAAGTAGGGTCGCTGCAGGAGAAAAGGAGGATTAGGGTCTGTCCCACTTCTTTGGCCGACAGAACAGTAAGAAATCACACTGTGATAAGAAGTTATAGAATATAAATGCCCAGAGAAAATTCCAGAGGGGTTGTGTCTGTCAGCTACTGCTGCAAAATGCCACCTAACAAACCACCCCCAAACTCAACAGCTTAAGCATTTATTTTTCCCTACTCATAGATATCTGGGAGCTAGGACACTGTTTTGGCCAAAGTTGGGTGTTGGGTCAGGCCATGTCTCTCATGGTTCTTGGACCAGTGGCCACCCAGGGCTATTTCTCATGGCACAAGATAGCAATGCAAAAGAAAGGCCAACTCACACAGGCATATTTATGGCCTCTGCTTGCATCACAACTGCTCACATCCTGTTGACCAAAGCAAGTTATGATGGCCAAGCCAAGGCCAGAGGGGCAGGGGGGAGGCGAATGTCTATTTGCTGAGCGATGCCCTAAGGTGTCACAGAGGTGCACCAAAAAGTTAACCCTGGTTGTCCCAGGGTCACAGGTCTGCAGTGGTTCTTATTTTCTTTCTCTTCCTTTATTAAATATTGTGTGTCTGTGTATATGTGTGTGTGTGTTAGTTGTTCAGTCATGTCTGACTCTTTGTGACCCCATGGACTGTAGCCCACCAGGCTCCTCTCTCCATAGAAATTCCAGGGAAAAATACTGGAGTGGGTAGCCATTCCCTCCTCCAGGGGATCTTCCTGACCCTGGGATCAAACTCTGGTCTCCTACACTGGCAGGCGAGTTCTTTACAGTCTGAAGCAATAGATATTACTTATATACTTTTTTCAAGTTGAAGTTATCTTTTCCTCCGGGAATTTCCAGAATCTGGAGAAAGTCTGTCTGTCTAGGGCAGAGTTCCAAGATGACAACTGTGCAGCAGGCATGCTCCTCTCGCCCAGCCCCTGCCCAGGACAGACATTTCTAATCGATCACAGCAGCATTCACCACCTCGGTTTCAGTTATGCACTTCCTGAGGGCTCTCGATGAGCACTTGGATGTCCTTCCAGCCTTTTGCTTCTGTAAAACATCCTCTTATTTAAAAGTCATGAGATGGGGCTTCCCTGGTAGTCCAGTGGCCAAGACTTCATACTCCCAATGCAGGGTGCCAGGGTTCAATCCCTGTTCAGGGAACTAGATCCCGCACGCCACAACTAAAGATCCTGCGTGCCACAACAAAGATCAAAGATGCAGCATGCTGCAACTAAGACCCAGTGAAGCCAAATTAAAAAAAAAAAAAAAAACCCTTGAGAGGATGCTGTTGTGTGTGTGTTCAGTCACTTAGTCGCGTCCAACTCTTTGTGACCCCATGGACTGCAGCACACCAGTCTTCCCTGAGGTGATGCTATTTGCTTTGAAAGGCTAAAGGTGAGATCTCCAACCTTCCCACAGAATAGAACTGTTCCAGACATGGTTGAAACTGGCCATCCTCACCAACACCCTTCTATTACTCAGCAGATGTGTAGTAAACACTAGTTAGGAGTCAGATGTTACAGCAGGAGAGGGTGGGCAAGTGGCGGGGAGTGGGGGAGGCAACAGCGTAGTGACCATAGTCCCATAGTCTCTATATGCCACTGCCTGGCAGGAAAGTAGAAACTTAAGTCAATAGTTTTAAGGCAGAGTGGCAAGTATCACACAAAAATGCACGGTGGGGTCAGGCGGCTGGAGAGGCACTATGAGCACCCGTTGAAGGGCAGAGAAGAACCTGAAAAGACATTGCTGTTCTGCCTCATTGGTTTGGTCATACAGGGCCCCAACTCAGGCTGGGAGGGCCCTGCACAGACAGGACAGGCGCAGGGGCTGGTTCACTCCGTGCCTGCAGCCAGCTTACATCGACACCCTCCCTTCCAGCTGGCCGCCTTTCGCTCGCTCCTGTTTTCTGTGCCTGGTGAAGAAGAGAAGACGATGGTGAACAACTACCGTCCACTCCAACCCCTGATGAACCGGAAGGTCCGTTCATCCTTCCAGGCCACTCACAAGAGAGCAAGACTCTAAATTCACTCTGTCCATGCTAACAGGTAGAACTGACTTTAACAAGAGAAAGTGTTTTCTCTTGTTTCCTGGGCTTCACGGTCTGATCGTGTGTAACCTCTGAAATTAAAAAGAGAGGAAAAGGTCATGATTTCCATCAATGTACTTTGCAGTTGCAAGGAAAAGAATCGCTTCAAAGAAGCTTGAGCATCCCAGGGAATGGAAGTCTGGGACGTGGGATTTCTCAGAGGGCTCTCAGCAGTGCCCCAGCCTCAGGGGCGTGCCAGCCCCATGGGCCGAGGTCATCCGCCCTGCCCTCTCTCGGGCCCACAGTGTCCTCTCTCCAGACGCCCAGCGCTTGGCAACACACAGCCTGGGACCAACGTCCCTCCTTCCCAATTCCAAGTTCCTGGTTTTTCAGTGTCCTGGGGCTGCTGACCGATGATGCAACCGGTGACCAACATGCTGTGGGTGTGGGGTACCCAGCAGGGCCTACCTTTCTTCCCACAGCACTGAGACTGGAAGTCCAAGATCAGGTGCCAGCTTGGCTGGGTTCTCAAAGGGTCTCTCTTGGCTTCTTGTTGTGTCCTGTGTGGGGTGTTTTTTTTTTTTGTTTTTGTTTTTTGGTGTATGCACACAGAGAGAATTCTCTCTCTTCCCTTTATTTTTTAAAAAAATATTTATTTTCTTTGTTTGTTTATTTGGCTGTGCCGGGTCTTAGTTGCGGCACTCAGGATCTTTGGTTGGGGCATGTGAACCCTTAGTTATGGCACATGGGATCCAGTTCCCTGACCGGGGATCAAACCTGGGCCCCCTGAATTGAGAGCATGGAGTCTTAATCGCTGGACCACCAGGGAAATACCTCTTCCCCTTATAAGGCCACCAACCCTACTGGGTTAGGACCCCACTTGTAGGACCTCACTTAAGCTTATATACCTCCTAGAAACCCCTTAAGTACCCTGCACCCACAGCGCGTTCGTCCCCAGCCACATCATCAGTCACAGCAACCCCAGGATACTGACACACCAGGAACTTGGAATTGGGAAGGAGGGATGTTGGTCCCAGGCTCTGTGTTGCCAAGGGCTGGGGGTCTGGAGGGGTGAGGACTTAGGGCCTCAACATGTGAATGCAGGGGACACAATTCAGCCCATAACAGTCACACACTAGGCAGGCAGACAGGGGGGTGGGCTTAAAACATAAAACGACAGAAACTTACTGAGTCAGAGCCTGGAGGCCAGGAGCCCAGTTGAAGGAGACAGCAGGGCTGTCTCCTCCAGAGGCTCTAGTGTGCCTCCTCACCTTTTCCAGCTTCCAGGGGCATCTGCTTCCTTGGCTGGCAGCCCCTCCCCCATCTTCAAAGCCAAAAGGAGTTTTACAAAGTGTTTGCCTGGGACATGTCGCCAGTTAATTGCGGTCGTTCCTCGGGGTGTGTCATGATTTTTCACTGTGGGTTTTTTTTAACTGTGGTAAAACGCACATAGCATAACGTTACCATCCTAACCACCCTTAAGTGCACAGTCTGAGATGCGTTCACAGTGTGGTGCAGCCATCACCACCATCGGCCTCCAGAACTTTCTTACCTTCTTAAACTGAAATTCCGTCCCCACTAAACAGTAACTCCCCATTGCCCCCCCACCCTGATCCCTGGTACCTATCGTCCTACTTTCTGTCTCTAAGGTTTTTAAAAAATACTTACTAACTTATCTGCCTGCGCCAGGTCCTAGTTGTGGCACACGGGGTCTTTGGTTGCAGCCTGTGAACTCTTAGCTGTGGCATATGGGGTCTAGTTCCCTGCCCAGGGTTCAAACCCAGGCCCTCTGCATTGGAAGCAGAGCCACTGGAGCACCAGGGAAGTCCCCTGTTGGTAAGATTTTGACCGCTATATGAACCAAACATAAATGGAATCATGCAATATTTGTCTTTTTGTGTCTGGCTTATTTCACTGAGCATCATGTCCTCAAGATTCATCATATGGTGGCAGGTGTGGGAATTTCCTCCCTTTTTAAGGCTGAATGACTTAAAAGTCGCTAGCATGACTGAGCGACTGAACTGAACTGAATATCCTAGCTGATAATGGTATTTTTATTCTTTGTAGCATCACACACATTCCCCTCTAGTAGAGATGAAGCTCCACAAAAAACTTCATCATGTCATCTTCCAGCTTTACCTGACTCTCAGGTAAACACTGAAAAACAGCCCAGTCCAGAAGGCAAACATTTATCCACCTAGCAAGGTGCAGTGATACCCTCCATTTCATCTGGGCAGATAAAGAATAAATAGACTCATCACAGTCCATGAATACCATCTAAGATCAAGGAGAACCTGTATTATGGATGTGGTGTGTTTTGGCAGAGGTTCAGAGTTTTTCCCCAATCACAGAACTTCCTACGGTGTCAACAATTTACAGTCTGGCCCTGGGCTATTCCGTGTTCTGGCACCCACTAGAGAGAAAACAATCCTGAACTTCCTTGTACACATTTTCCCTGAAAAAGTGCAGCCGCTCGTCAGCACCCATCAAATGACAGTGCTGAGCAAAGGCAGTGCAGCAAGCTTACCATCAGTTTATGTGGGACGCGGTCACTCTTCAGCACAAAGCGGGACAGTTTGGGTGCATTGGTCACAGGCTTGAGTGTAGCTGCCTTGGCTGGTGCAGAGCATTGGGTGTTGGGTGACTCTAAGGCTGCAGACCCGCAGGATCTAGGAGGGAAGGGGATATTTTAAAGTTTGGTTTGGACTCCAAATTGTTTCTTGTCTTTTGGGAAATTGTAGCCATCCTTGAGTCTCTCGCCCATCAGGAGAGTTTCCTGTGGTCGTCAGAACAAGTGGCCACAGTTCAGGGCCCTCCTGCCCGCCTCTTGCAAGGGCCCTGTGGGGACACTGGGCCCACCCAGATGCCAGGATCATTCCCGCCTGGAGATGCTTAACTCAATCATACCCGCAGAGTCCCTCTGCTGGTTAAGGCCACACATCCACAGGTCACGGGATCAGAATGTGGACACACTCTCTGATTGTGGAGTGTTCCAGAACTCTACCATCCTCCAGGGAAACCCTTGGATACACATAGCCATTGAGCGCTTAGAATGTGTTCTGTTTGATTGAGGACTGGTGTTTTTTGGCTGTGCTGGGTCTTCATTGCTGCGTTTGGGCTTTTCTCTAGTTGCTACAAGCGGGGAAGCTCTCCAGTTGCAGTATTCAGCCTTCTCCTTGTGGTGGCTTCTCTTGTTGTGGCTCTCGGACTCTCAAGCACAGGCTCAGGAGTTGTGGCTCACGGGCTTAGTTGCCCCATAGCATGTGGGATCTTCCCAGGCCAGGCATCAAACCCGTGTTTCCCTGTATTGGCAGGCAGATTCTTAACCACTGGACCACCAGGGAAGTCCCAAGGGACTGAGTTTTAATTGTACATAAGTTTAATCAATGAGAATTGAAACATCACATGTCAGAGGCCTGTGGCCAGCGTGCTGGACTTGATGTGAACAGATTTGTGCATTTGTAAACATACCCTCAGGGTGTATGTTGCATCCCATTTACAGGAAACACTGTGCTGTCCCCTCAGCAGCTGAGGTTTCCGAGGCTCTTTCAGGAGCAGGTGGCACAGGGCAGGGTCAGAAGTGCTGGGATGCAGATCAGGGTGCAAGGACTGCAGAAGGATGGATCGGGGACATTGGTCACCCAGTGGCAGCTGAGCAGTCAGCCCTCTGCTCACATCATTCCTCAGCTATGCAGGCATAACAGAGTCACCACCACCAGGTACCCAGCGCCACTAGGAAAGGTGGCCTCTGTTTACTGAAGCAGGACACAGGTAACTGTTCTCAGACAAGATGGTTTAAAACATACGTGGCCTTATAAGGATCAAGTTGAGTGGTGATGCTGGTGAAAGCAGATTGGCTTGAAGAGTCAAAACAGATGCTGAGAAAGAAATAAGATCAAAAAGGACACGTTTCTGTCCAGCCTCTGAGCTGACATCCCCGCTCAGTTATAATCGATAACTCAGAGGCATTTGCCCAACAACAGGGCTGTCACCACCCATGACAGTGACACAGCTGGGGGCCGCCTTCCCGGCCGGGCCTGGGCTGAGCGTTCTCATGACACTGAGCCATCCTTGACCCCGCTGCATGTCAGAACCATGTGGGAGCACGGGCCTGACCCCCGGTGCTGTGGTTCCCAGGGTCTAAGGAATAATGTTTTTAAAAAACTGCCCAGGCAACTGGGTTGGGTGGGCTGGGATGAGGTCAGCCCACTTACATTTGTTACAAGAAGCTCTGTGAAAGTTCTGTGGGGTCACCCCTGGGTTTTAAAGGGGAAGCCGGGCTTGCTAGAGAGGTTGGAGGCAGGAGGCGACAGAACCAGCAGGAAGCCCATCTGGATTGCAGGCCGCCGTAGGGCTGGGCACAGCCTTTTGCTCCTGTCTCTCTGATGTGTGTGACCGAAGGCGAGATACAGCCTCACGGAAGAAACCCAAAGCCCTGAACTTGACAATCTCATTGTATAATGACCTGCGGTTCTGTCTTGATGGAAACGCCGACCCAAAGGCACGTGTTCAGGCAGCCTGCAGCTTATGAGGGTGGGGTTCTCAGGTATGGAAGGAAGCACAGTAATTGGAAGGGGTCTTCGGGTTGGGAGCTGGGGTTGATAGAGAGCAGCTGTGTGTCAACAGTCCACAGGCCATCCGTTCCCACGGAGACTTCAGGATGGAGGAAGGCCGGTGTCCAGAGGGGCCTTGCCGGAGGACAAAGGACTACGGGGCCCTGAGCCGGACAATGCCCACCCCTTGGTGACATCCTGTCCCAACAAGAGCCCCGAGAGCAGGTGGTGCTTTCGTCTCCTCTTTCATGTCCATGCCGGGCCTTTCTCTGCGCACAGAAGTCTTAGTCTCCCGGTAGGTGTTCTGCTTTGTAGGTTATTGTTAAAATCTGGCATTAGCCCTGGGACTCTGAGATTCTCCTGGGGATCACACGGAGCCCGGACGCATTGAGCAAAACCACAAACGGGGAGGAAGGACGTCGGTCTCAGCCCTCAAAGCCATGGTACAGAAAACAAACACCGGTCCCGCCACTCCCCATTCTGAGTGGCGGCCAGACGTGGGGCCGAGGTCGTCGGGTCTGTGGGACCCGCTCGCTGTGAGGTGACTGTGACTGAGCTTTGTGGCCTGGGATTCCGGGCCAGCCTTTAACTTCAAAGCTTCCCCACTTTGCTTTCATGTTATTTTCTCGTTTTGTCAAAGTACAAATGTGGACCCTGCCCATACCCCCCCGATGTCCGTTCTGTGCCAACCGGGCGTCCAGCCCCTTCCCACGCAGCAGCCCCCATGCCATCCCTGGAGGCCCCACTCCCACCTGCCTGATGTCGGCTCCTCATCCTCTCCCAGGACACCCACTCCCCGGGGCTCCCGACCGCTCCTGGTGTGGCCCCCTGTACCCCAGCAAGAGTGGGGTTCCTCCTCTGTGGGGGTCGTCCCTCCATCCACCAGCACTAGGGCCAGCCTTGAGGGTCCCCTGGGACCCCTGCCCCTTCCTCCCATGTGCCAGGCATCCGAGGGTCCCGTTGGTACAACCCTCCCTGCCGAGCCTCCCATCCTCCATTCTCCACGTTCGCACTGCCCCCGCCCCGGCCATCCCATCTCCAGACAGCATTATGTCGCCAGCCCTCTGGTTTTGCCACGTCCAGCATCTCCCCCAACCACCCACTCTTCTCTTAGAAGAGACTTGGCAGGAAACAGCAACTTGACCATTCCTCCTGCTTCCATATTCAAGACCACAGCTTCTGCTAAACTTAGGAGGAAGCACGAACTCCCTTCCCGTGGGTCTGGGGTGCAGCCCCCACCCAGCTGGGGTTGCTGTGCCCCGTCCATGGGCCTGGGCATCAGTCAGTCGCTTCTCCACAGCCTTGCCCAGAGCATGGCATCTCTGCCTCCTCACCCCAGCCGCGCCCGGGCACCCTCGCTGTTCTCACGCTGGCACCTCGTTCCCTGCTATTTTCCCGAAGGCGGCGTTCTCGTTTGCCTGCTCTCAGTGCTGAGTGAATACCCGCTGGGCGGACACTGCCCGAGGTGCTCTGGCTCCAGGTGCTGCCGGCCACCCCCATCAGCTGTGCCCGCTGCCCCGACCCTGGACGGCTGCCCCTCCCAGGAGCGCCCTAGCCCTCCAGCTCTGCGCCTGACCTTTCCGCCATCCCCAGACTCCCCTCCTGTGATGTTCTCCTCCATCACCCAGCCCTCAGTGATGGGGGCCTCCCGCCCTTGCATGCTTCACCTGTATAACACGTTCTCAGGTGCTTACAAGTCGCCCACAGGCCATGGGTCCTCGGACAAAAGTTTTGTCCTTCCGAAGTTAGCCGTCATGGCATGTTAGCTGAGTAGATGGAAGAAAGCAAAGGTATTAGATGTTTCAGATCACCAGAAATTCACCTCCAATCAGGGAATCTGGTGCTTATAACTTGAGAAGTCCAGAGAAAGTAAGCAAAGTGCAGCAGGTGTGAAGGAGGCATAGAATCTGCATGAAGCAGGTGTGGGGCAGGCGTGGGGCAGGTGTGGGGCAGACGTGGGGCAGGCGTGAGGCAGGTGTGGGGCAGACATGGGATAGGTGTGGGCAGATATGGCACAGGTTTGGGGCAGGTGTAGGGCAGATGTGGGGCAGGCATGGAGCAGGTGTGGGGCAGGTGTGGGGCAGACATGGGATAGGTGTGGGCAGATATGGCACATGTTTGGAGCTGGCATGGGGCAGGTGTGGGGCAGACATGGGGCAGGTGTGGGACAGATGTGGGGCAGGTGTGGAGCAGGTGTGGGGCAGACATGGGACAGGTAAGAGGCAGATATGGAGCAGAAGTGGGACAGGTGTGGGGCAGACATGACAGGTGAGAGGCAGACATGGGACAGGTGTGGGGCAGATGTGGGGCAGGTGTTGGCAGAAATGGCACAAGTTTGGGGCAGGTGTGGGGCAGACATGGGGCAGGCATGGAGCAGAGGTGGGACAGGTGTGGGGCAGACATGGGGCAGGTGTAGGGCAGGTGTAGAGCGTGCATGGTTCACCGTGGAGAGGCAGAGAGCAGCCACACTGCTTGGCCCTCACAACAGAAGGCATCGTGTAGAGGAGTTAACATCCTCCCAGACATTTCTGAAATGCAGAATTGAACTTCAAGCTCCCGAAATCTGCCTTCGCTGCTCCGACCTGCCATCCCTGCCCTGGCGTGTGTGACATTGTCCCCTCAGCCTCTGTGCTGGAGCTGGGAGGAAGGGCCAGGTAGCCCAGGTGAGCAGCTCTGAAAACTGTGGGGGCAAAGAGCACAGGTCCCTCCAGAAGTGATAGGATCACAAGAGCCTCCTGGCCCCCAGCCCTGCTCAGCACAGCGTGGGGGGTGCGGACTCGGTCTGGGGCAGTTTCATTGTGAGAAACAGCCCAGCTCAGGTTCCCTGACCTGACCCACAGGTTGGGTCACACCTTGGGTGCTCTGCAGTAGAAACGCCCAGCTCCCGCGTCTGTGGAAAAGTTCAAACGTGCGTCAACAGGAAAGAAAGATCTTCTGTTTCCGCCATCCTTAAGATACATTCACCAACCACTGCATTGAAGATAAAAGCTGGATATTTTTTCAGTGTTGAGATTATTCTGTCAGAATTTCCTCAGTCAGTGAGTTTGTTTTCTTTTACTGGGATTGAAATAGGGAAATTATTTTTAAGCAAAGAAAAACTGTCTGATCCTTTTTACTGAACTCTGGAAATCCAGAGGGGGGCCACCCTCCAGGTGCGCTAGCTCCCTGAACACATAAACACAAGTCAAAAGTGTGAACATCAAAAACAGGCCTGACACTCAGGCTCCACTCGCCATGGTCTCTGCCTTGTTTCATAGTTTCGTAATGACACACACACTTCCACTCCAGTCTGACAACGCTGTTTATCGAACACCCTCTGGCCGCATGTTCCCGATAGTGGGCAAGACAGTCGGGGAATGTGGGTGACGAGACAACAGACAAGCTGAGACCCCAGCCCCTGTGGTGTCTGTATCAGCAGGGGAGATGGTCCAGAGACGACGGGT